AAAAAAAAAAAAAAGAAGATATATATGGAGGTGGGGGTAGGGATGGATAGTTGTTCATTTTGCTAAAGGAATCTTAAACTTTACTATTTTGTTCAGTTGCCTTTTATGATGATTTGAATCCTACCTGTAAATCTCTATTAAAATCACCAAGAGCATTTCTGGTTGGTTGAATAATAGCAAGTGTTGCTTGAGAGATTTTTTTCCTTAGAACTTATGTTCTTCGAGGTTGCAACCATGCATATTTTAAATCACTTTTAGTCTGAAATATTCATTGACTAAAATAGCAAACAAGTATGTCTTTATTGTATTGTTAGCTTCTTGTCTTTATTTTATATGTAAACTCTCTACTGCCCTTCAAAGTTGAAGCAACCCTGTGAGGCCTGTAGTTCAGTAATGATCAAGACAGCCTTAATGTTCCCCTCAGCTTGGCTAAATTTTTGACAGGTTTCTTCCTGAGGATAGGCCTCTGACCTCCATTTTTAAAGCACATTTACTTAAGAAAACTTGAAATTGTAAATTGTTTCACTGCCCCTTTGAAATGTAAATCTTTTGCCAGCCTCTTGCTAGTTTCACAACCCAGGGATGGGACTCATCCCTTTGCAGGATAGTAGTCTCCTTGGGATGTAGGAGCCTAAGCACCAATTAGCAAACATAGATGGCTTATTCACATTGGCCAGCCTCCCCCTAACTTCCTCTAGTACTTTTGCACTAGCTCTCCCCAAACAAAAACTTTACCGCCTTTTGTTTCAGTGGATTTGAGTTCAGACTTTCTCCCCTATTGTACTAATCTCTCTCCCTTATTGCAATAGTGTTGAATGAAGTCTTCCTTATCTGTTTAACTTGTCTGGTACAACTTCCCTTTGATAATGATTGAGAGTAAAGACTCTACAGTCAAAAGTGCCATAGAATCCTGACTTTATTTTGCCATGCAATTCACATAACCTCACTAAGCTTCAGGTTCCATATAAATAAAATAAGAGATAATGGTACCTCCCTATAGGACTTCTCTGATGATGGTGTAGGTCAATGAATGCAAAGCACTTAGCATACTGTGTATGGTACATAGTAGGCACTCCATAAAATTTAGAACTTAATTTTGGGGCTAATGACTACATAAAAAGCCTCTTGATAGCTCTTTTTTTAAAATAGTAAACTGGTCTCCTGTATTCCACTTGAATAAATATGATTCCATTTGCTGAATTATCAATGTATACTTTTTGGGATATCTGCTTTGCAATGTGAAGTCTATTTAGTTCTTGAAATAAAGACAAAAATGCATCAGAAACAGTGAAGGCAAACAACTGGTTCTCTATCCGATCCTGAAATGTCTAGTTTACTTAGAGAAGTGAGTTCAGTTACTTCTGAGGCCATGTTGAAAAACAGTATCTGTAGGAAAGAGAGACAAACTGAAGTATTTGTTTTCAGACAGTCTAGCAAGTTACTTCAACAAATGAAGAAAACTCTGTGCTCTTTATATTTTAAAGTTTAAAATATCTCCTACTTAGGCTATCCTAAAGCCAAAAACTTAAACTAAAATTCAAATGCTGTTTTCTTTTAATAGATATTATATTTTCAAGTGCAGATTATGTTTCAATACTCAAGTATCTTGAAGCTACATTATAAAACATTGCCCAAATTGCTAAATTTTAAAGAAATGTATATGAAATGATACCTTTGAAAAGTTGAAACTGCCTTTTTTTTTTTTTGGTGGGGAGAGTATGGTAACATATAGTTGGAAACTACTATTCTCTGACTACATGTCATAATAAATGTCTAGTCAAAACAGTTCTCCATCCAATGTATGCTATATCTGTAAAACTACTCCTCCCATGTTCCTTCTCTTTCCAAAAGTAATCTGAGGTAAATTCACTTGAATTGCTACCTCATTTTTAACGATCTATATTCTGTTTGATGACCCTGCTTGCCATTCTGAGTGACTTACAAAGATAATAGTGATGATCTGAAAGGCCAAAAGTCCTGAGCTGATGTTCCATTCTTAAATACAGATAACATGATGGTATTTTCTGGGTTTTTTTTTTTTGAGTCATTGCTTCATATAGTGTATTCACTATTTTTATATTTCTTGTTAATACAACACTTGTAACATTAGATTTACAATTGACCCTTGAACAATGCTGGGTTAGGGGCTC